AACCCCAAAACCCCAAAACCCCTTATTCTAAATATTCCCAAAGAATTGAATTTTATAATAGAAACTTAGCCAAAAATAGATAAGTTTATTCTTAATAAATTATTAAATGAGTGGAAGTTTTTACGATAAGCTGAATCTCAGGCACAATTAGATACAGAGAGGGTCTATGAATGACACACTAGTTAGTTCTCAAGCTGATACGAATCTACTCTCATCTAGTGTCATTGATCGAAAACGTAACTAGACCTTCATTCATCAGAAACAAAAGATATTCAAAGTGAATTACTCATTCATTGTCTTATATGTCCTAATTGCAAGTCTTGGAGTAGTACAACTAGGAATGGTACTATCTGCTAATAATTAAGTGAGTGCTGTTTTTGACGAACAGTTCGGTTTGATTGATTAGAGTGACAAAAATTTCTATCATACTATGATTGGATCTGCTGCTGTTCTTGGAGCTGTGATTGGCTCTCTCTGTGGAGGCAAGCTCATTACTGTGCTCGGTAGAAGACGTTCGATGATCATATTCAATATTATTGGAGCTGGTTTTATAGGCATTACAATGATTGAGAATTTTTACACTTTGTGTATTGGGAGACTGCTATTCGGATTTTGTGGAGGAATATTTTAGGTTGCTCTACCTAGAATGATTGAAGAAACTGTCCCACATAACCTCTATGGAAGCTTTGGAGTGGTTAGTGTCATGTCACTCAATTTTGGTCAAATGATGGGGATAGTTATGGGTCTAGGCTTGCCTGACGCTGATGATGAGGAAAGCATGAAAAATACCTCTTTTTGGAGAATAATATACGGGATGCCGTGGGTATTATAAGCCATAGTACTTGTGTCATATCTGATATTCTTAAAGCATGATACAATAAAGTATCTCATAGATAATAAAAAAGATGAGGAAGCACTTTCAATGATCAGATAAATTTATCATGAATCTGAGAATCATAGATACATCCTTGAATATCTAAAGATGACTAGTTCATCTGCAAAAGGTAACAAAGTATCTTTTAAAGAGTCATTGTTTGGTAAATATTATTGGAGAGCGACCTGGTTTTGCTTTATATTCTCAATTCTGAATTAACTCACTGGATGCAATAGTATAATCTGGTACTCAGGGGCTATTTTGAAAAGAATGTAGAATTCTAGTAGTGGATCAACATTGACACCTAAATCAGGATCAATGCTAATCGCAGTAATCAATTTCCTAGGAACTATTGCTGCAATATATCCTATCAAGAAATTTGGAAGAAAGACTTTAGTGTTAGCAGGCCACGTTATTATGGGAACATTTATGATTTTGGTAGGTTTGTTCTCATTTTTAGAGTATAATGATCTTATGATAGCTATGATACTCTGCTTTTTATTTACATTTTAAACTACTGATGGTCCTGTTCTTCTTATATATGGACCTGAGGTCACAGTTGATTAAGGTTTTGGCTTTTGTGTATTTGGAATTAAAGGAACTGGTTTGCTTATGTCCTTAACTACTGAGTACCTTATGGATAGTGGATTGCATCCTTATGGTACTTTTTGGCTATATGGAGGTATTACCTGGGCAGGATTCTTTTATTTCTTGATACTAATGAAGGAAACTAAGAATCTTACCGATCGCTAAAAGAAAGCACTATATCGTAAAGATTACGATCCAAATAATATAATTATTTCACCTTGAAACTTTGTCACAAATTATGTAATACAATAAGTATTACATCAGCTTTCCAAATTACTAACACTTATTATTTAATATAATTTATTTCCTGGATCAAAAATATTTTACAAGTTGAATTCATGGGGTTTTGGGGTTTTGGGGAGATCGGAAGAG